TAGTCTTAGATTAGTTCTTTACGAGATTTTTGTAATTTCTTTTGATTTGTTTTTAATTTTATATTATCATACTTTCAAAATAAAGATATTGCGAAACTACCGCACTTTAAAAAAAAAAAAAAAAAGATTTTATTTTTCTTTAAAATAAATTTTCAAAATAAATTAAAAAGATAATCTAAAATAATATTTTTTTAATTTATTCTTAAAATAAAATTTTGAAATTATATAATTTCAAACTTTTTGTTATATAATTTCAGTCTTTATTTTTTTATGAAAAAAAGTTAAAGATATAAAATATAGTATAATTTGATAATTTTAAAGTAGAATAATATATATAGAAATAAGAAATTATATTTTAATAGATTATTAATAAATAGTAATATTTTTCAAATATGTTATATTTTCTTATATTTAATATATTATTTAAAAGTCTATAAAATTCGTTACTAAAAGAATTATAGAAATAAATTCAAAATAATTTAAATATAAGAATTATAAGAATAAACTCAAATTATGTTAATAATTAATAATAAAAATTATAAAAACGTAATTAAATATATTAGAAAATTAAAGAATAATATATAATTAATTTTATATATATTATAAAACTTTTCATTAATATATCATATTAAATTATAGTAAAAAACATCATAAAAATCAATAAAGAAAAAATAACTAAAAAATTATCTAAAATAGTAAAAAGATAATTATATAATTAAGTTATATCATTATAATTAGATTATACTTAAGTAGTTATCACACTTAATTTAATGATCTCTTTATAATTTAGTTATAAAATAATTATATAATCTAATTTAATTTAAATAATTCATTATTATTTAATTAAAATGATTTATTATATTTAATTAGAACAATTTATTATTATTTAATTAGAATAATAATTATATTTTTTCTTGAATATTTTATTATCATTAAATAGAATAATTTACTATAATTCTAATTGATAATTTATTCTTAACAATTTATTATTATTTAATAAAAATAATATATTTTATTTTTTAAATAATTTACTATTATTCTTTTTGAACGATATATTATTGTTTAATTAAAATGATCAAAAATTTGTTTTTTTAATGAAAAAAATTTTTTAAAATTAATTTGAATTAGATTAAATTTGAATTTCAATTAAAAGAATAGAAAGATTGCTAAAATTTTGATTTTTATTGTATTTTAGTTTTTGATATTATTAATTAAAATGTAATAAGATTTTAAAGTTTGATTTTCTAATAAAATTCTATATAATATATCATTTTAATTAGTTAATTAATTTTAATAACAAATTTTAATATTATTTTTAAATACTAATTAGTTTTTATTTTATTGTAATTAGCAATTTTCAAAATTATATCTGCAAAACAATTAAAAAAATAATAAAAATAATTAATTTTAAATAGATTTGTATAATAATTTAAATTTAAATTATATTAATTATGATTTTTTAAAACTAAGATAATTTTAACTAATTTAATTATTTTAAATCAGTGATGGATTTTGAACATAATTTTAGATTTTAAAAGTTTTAGATAAGATTTGGATATAGAAAAAATTGTTCAAAACCTGCTCAAAATATGTCTAAAACAGTCCAAAATTATCCAATTGCTCAACACTGATTTAAATAATCAGAATTAGTTTTATATATAATTAAAAATATTATTTGATTTTTTTATATTTTTAATTAAATGTTATTAATATTATCTTATATTAAAATATTTTATTTTTATTTATTTAGAAATAGTGTAGTAACATTAAATATATTATTTATTGATTCTTATTACTTTGTAGAATCATTTATTATTTAAAAATAAAATTAGAATTTAATAATAATAGTAAAATTATATTATATGTATACTTTTTAAAAAATGAAGAAAAATAAAGATCAAGAGTAATAGATGGTCATAAATTGTATAAATTTTGTGTATAATAAAAATTTTTTTCTAGAAAATAAAATTTTATTTTCAATGCCACAATTTTTTTTACTAAATGACAAACTTTTGAGATTTCGAGTTTCAGAATTACATTTATAGGATATTTGGATTGTATATATTTATGGACAGATTATCGTAATAATGCTTATAAAAAAGACGAGGTAACTATACCCTGAATACCACGATCTATCTGCCAACAATACAAGGTTTTTGATCCGATAAAGGACATTATTATGCATGTTAATGAAGAATTCCTGTTAGTTCCATTAATTCACTGGCAGACCTATAAATTTGGGCATTTTTAACGAAGGATTTTAACATCAAACGTAAAACACAGACTAATTAGACGTTTCCGCATCTTATCTTTCTCCACTAATTTTAATTGCTTTTCCTTGATGTTCTTGCAATAACAAAGAATTATATACCAGCCTATATGGGTATAGAAAGAATTTGTTAAATATCAAAACTAGAAACTACGAAAAATCTTTTATCATTGATCGTTATCATAATCTATAATACTAGCTTCATCACCAACCATTTCAATATGTCAAGATCGGAAACGGACGACAAACAAAAATTTTACTAAAACAGGACCGATCAAAGATCCATAAATGTCAAAGAGCATCGAGTTTTGCGTACAGCTTGGCAAGCGAGTATAAAGACGAGACTATATCCCCCTTAAGTTCAGCACTATTATTTGCCGATAATCGACCGCGCCAACATTCTGTACTATCTATATGGACCTCAAATAGATTTTAAATAGTACAATATATTTGCAAATCCATTCAGAATTTTAAAAACAAACTATTTAAAGAGAGGAATTTGTAAATTACGAAGCATAACCTATTCGTCAGGTCATTGATATCCCATGACGTCAAAATGTGCTTTTTTATTCAGTTATATTGCATAAAACTCATTAAAATAAGAAATTGAATTCATCATTATTTTCTTCTAACATTACTTCTTTAAGAGATGAGACAACTTCATGTATATCAGGACGATCCTCAGAACGATACACCCAGCAAGCTGGTTACAAATTAATAAACAAATAACATTAATTTGATTCACATCAATAGATTTCATAAATAAAATAAATTATGAATTACCTTTATATATATTACTGTATTTAATAGGTGTATCTTCATTATCTTCTTCCCTTTGCCCTTTCTTGATTTCCTTGACCAAATCTACATCATATTCTATGCCCTCAGGATAAAAAGGTCTCCGTCCACTTGAAATTTGCCATAATAGAACCCCTACGCTATAAATATCTGATTTATTATTTAGTTCATAAGTTTGAACGTCATCTTGGAGTTTGTAAATGCTATTTAAACATTGAGGATCCATATAAGGAATTATCCCAAATTTATTTGTAAATTCATTACTATCATTATTAGTTGAATCTTCGGTTATTTTCCTTGCTAACCCAAAATTTGTCAGTTTAATATTGTTCTGATGTACGAGGATATTGTACGCATGCTAATAAAAGGATAAAACATCTTTTAATTATGCGTCATAAATAATAATATCATAGGATTTAATCTTATTACCAGATCTCCATGAACTATATCTTCATTATGAATACATGCTACAGCATTGCAAAGTTGTAAAGCTAAACGATATTTATCGTTCCAATCAAGTCTGTCAAAATTTTCCTTAAGGTAACTATGCAATGAACCACCGTCAGCATACTCCATAACCAACAGATACTTGTTTATATAATGAATCAACTCGGTTCTTAATTTAGAGATTCCATAAAATCGCAAAACATTTGCATGAAAATCCACTTCTCGTTGTATTTTTAACTAATAATTAATATATTAATATATTTTGTGAAATAATTATAATCGACTAATTTATACCAAAGTTAGAACAATATATATACGTTTATAAAAATACCTCATTAACGATTTCTTGAACGGTTAATTTATATGATGATTTTAAAACTAATACGGTATCGGAATCTTTCCAATTTGCACGAAAGATATTTCCAACCGAACCGTTGCTAATTTCTTGTATATTATTAAAATGGGAATAATCATAATATTTTATATGTTCTTCGACAATGGCCTTTTCTAACCAATCAACATCAGCATTGAGATCATTTTCTTGAGTATCGAATTCACTTGACATGTTTTACGAATAAAGAAGAAACTATTTATTACTAATTATTATTGGTTAAATAGCAAAAATTCACGTGAAGTGTGCATTGTGCTACCTAAATCTGGTAATTTCGGTCAGTTTTTTTATTTAATTTTATTAATTTTATTTAATTACGTCCGATTTCTCCCATTAATATTAATAATAAGTATTAATAAATATAAAACGCAAATTTTTTTTTATTAAAAAAATTTTGATTACGCGATCAGCCTATCAGTCTATAAAGTATAAATTATAAAAAAAAAAAAATTACATATATATAAAAATTGTCAAAAATTTTAATTCTCCCAAAGAGCCGCAATCATTGAGGATTTTATGACTCGAGGCATCGTGTACAATTGTTTGTTTATCCACAAATATGGTTCCGAATTATGAAAATATCCCGGTGTATTCATTGCTTCATCCAAGTGATTTTTTAAATATTCTTGACCTTTTGATATAGATTTTCGAATTGATTTGTCACCAGTGTAATAAATAGATGAAGTTTTTAATAAACGAACAAAATAACTTGTTTCTTCGAGATTTCCCATGGCATTTTTTGAAGGTTCACCCCAACTGCCATCTTCATGTTGAGTTTTTAATGTCCATTCTACAGTTTCTCTGCAAAACTTTAAAAGACCACTCGAGTCCAAAGATGTCAAGGCATTTAAAAATTCAGGATGATGCGTTAAAGATAAAAGGATGTCGATGGCCTTGAATGTTGGATAACCGGGACTCTTATTCCATTTATCAGTCCAAATCGAATATTTTGAACGTTTTTCAATAATAAAATCCGCAACGGATACAATCATTTCTTCAAGTTTAACTTTTTGAGCAATGCCGGATTTAGTCATGACAGGAAATGACATGGATTCAATTCCTTTTATTTTAGCTTTTTCATATTCTAATATTAAAAGACTCAAAGCATGAGCGTTGCAACTTATTGAAAAAGTGCGCTCAACTGGGAAGGTGATAAAATATTTTCCATTATAAAAGGATCGTATCAAAAGATCGAGATCACATTCGGAATTGGCATCGAATTGACGTATGAGCCAGCGGGCAACAGCAGTATCATCGACATCAGCCGGAATTCTGTTGTCCCAACTGACCCATCGAAGTTTTCCATTCGCTTCTTTGAGAAGAGCTTGAAGATATTCAATGAATGCATTATTCTTTTCTAAAAGTTGTTTGACTCCAGATTTATTTCGTTTGAAGCCATTTCCTTCAGATAAATTCAACATTATACCACTAAGGGAGTGCGTGACCCATGCGGTTTCGAAGATTCCAACGTCACATAAAGTAGGTACGCACCCGTGAGTTTCGGAGTAAGACGGACGACGTTCGAGAATCTTTTTAAGAAATTCATATCCCTTATCATCCCACCTGGAAGCGTGAATCAAAACTGCCGCAGTAGCGGCGGGTGATGAGCCATAGCACCCATTTATGGCTTGAAATCCTTCGTTTTGGACGCGTGACATTTCAAATGTATTACAAAATGCTTCAATGGAATGAACGATGGTAATCGGTTGTTTTTTTGCGGCTAGGGCAAAGATTGCTTCTAAAGGTATTATACTCATTTTTCTTTGGTTTTCTTCTAATAATCTTGCTTTATCGGGAAAATCAAAACTTATTGAAGGTTCAAGCTTCTCCAATGCGTCTAAATGATATGGTATGATCAGTTCAAATCCAACCATATCAAGATCATCGATATTCCAATCATTTAATCTAATAAATCACACTAAATTAGATTATTAACAAACAAAAAACAAATTTTGGAATGTTGACTTACGTTACACGAAGGTAATCGATCGTCATTTGAAAAGCATTATTATACTGTCCCTGAAAATAAATATAAAGACCTGTGTAAGAAATTTTCCCAATTGGGAGAAAAATTTTTTTTTTTTGGAAAAAGCGTGGCTTACAAGAGAAAATCCTAATTCTTGCAAATTGTCTTCAAAATATCGACCGGAACGAGAATGAAAGAGACCTAAAGCAAGAAGACCAGAAAGTGCAGGAGCTATACTTCCAGGACCCGTTCCGGACCAACTTCCGCTTGATTCTTGGTATTCCAGAAGCCAAGTGAAGCATTGAGGAAAAGCCAGTTCGAAGTCCGCAGCTGATCCTGATTCTTTATACGTTTTTGATGGAACCATTGCTAACCAAGCGGTATCATATGGAGACATTGAAATATCGCCATAACCAATCCAATCTGTGTAATTTCCATCATCAACCGTTCGTTTAGCCGGTTCTTCGGGTTCTTTAAAAAATTCTGGCCAAGTGTCGTTACCACATTCGGTTAATAGTTTATCGGTATATCTAATAAGGGTGGTTTTAATTGATGTATTTTTATTGAAGGGGTAATTTATAAGCTTGCTGAAATACTTTATGATGGATAATGATGACTCATAATAACTATCGTTATTTTTAGTTTTACGAGTAATAGAAGGTGTGGATTCTCGCCACGATAAGTTCAAATATTTGGATGACATGATTATATATTTTTTTGTTTTTTGTTTTTTAAAAAATGAATAAATAAATAAATTTTTATAAGTAAATTATATTTTTTTTTATTTGGTTTTTTTTTTTAATTAGTGGGAGAATGAAGAGAACCACGAAATGAGATATTTTTATACACATCCAGGACTTTTTTTTTTTTTTAAAAAAAATTACTTCATGAAATTGAAGTTGTTTTAAGCAAGGTATTACAAGATAATCGGAATTCCCTCGTAAAAAATTATGGGCATAATGAAAGTAAAAGAAAGTATCAATATGATACGCACAATGTATGCGAGATGCATCCAGATAGGTAATTTATCCAGGAAAAACATTTCCAGGATCTTTTTTTTCAATGTTGACAAAAAAAAAAAAAATTGTGATCCAAAGTATCTTTTTTGACTTAACGCGAGAATTTTGAAACATGGTTCATTCATGAACCAAAAGAATGATTATGAAGTAAAATAATAATTATTCTGTGGTAAGTTCTATTGTCACAAATTAAATGAATGCATCCGATCGACAAACGAATATTACAATTTAAAAAAAAGGTGGAGTGTAACGAATACTTTGTCGGAACATTAAAGTTTGTGCTAGGTCGATTATAAATTTCCGAGAGTCCGGAAATTTCCTTGTCCACGTTGATAATCATAACCAAATCGGAAGTTCCTAACCGAGTTATGGTTTCAAATTTCTCAAAATTTAGCTAGTTCTGATTTAAGGTTTTGCTGCCATCTCCATTCAATTCTTTAATCATTAAGTATTACCCTGCATTTTAAAATGAATGAACAGTTTTTAGGAAATGTCACGAAAAGAGAACGCGTAAAATCCCCTCGTTACACCATCAAAATAATTTACTCGTTGTCCATATAAGGACGTCGATCAACCTTTTCTCCCTAAGATTAATAAATCGGGAATAGTGAGAAAGATCCTGCTGAATTATGTAAGGAGATTTTTGTACAACAAAAAATTAACAAAATTGAAAAACAAATCGTGTTGCTTACTTTATTTTGTCAATTGCGCATATAAAAAAAACCATTCTTTTGCCTAAAAAGTAATGCTAGAACAAAGAATATTTATTTTCATTCATTTATAAATATGTAAAACCTTCAAGTTGTTGTTCTTTTAAAATTATGTCGAGGAAATCATGTCGTTGAGTGACACTCTTCCACAAGTTGTCGTCGTTTTGTTCAGTACTTTAATTCTTAATATTCAGAGTTGTAAAAATGAACGATCTCTTTATGAATTAGATGAATACAATAATGATTCAATTATCTCTTCACGCTTTTCTACTGTAAAAAGGGATGTCTTTAAAATTGGATTTACATTAATTCAAGCTGGTTCTTTTGCTTTTCTATTCGGATGGAAATTTGATCGAGAACAAGATAAAAATTCGGTTTTATCCGTCGGATTACTTGCCGTTTGTTGGGTAATAAATTTAATTACCTCGATTGATCTCTGTCTTCATTTATGAATAGCAAAATAAAAAAAACTTTTGCAACCCTTCTTTTTTTTTTTTAAAAAACAAAAAATAAAAAAGATTCATGCATTTGTATTATCAGTAATTACAATCTCTTCCAGATCAAGAACTCTTGTATGGATTATTAATTGTCATTTATCAATATTTTACGCGGTTGCGTCAATTTGTTCTCTTTGGCAAATTCGAAATGTGTTCGAACATGCATGGTGCATCGAGTCAGCAATGATTATCGGCAATTTAGTGGCTTCAATATTGTTAACGTATATCGCATTTACTACGCCAAAAGGGACAAAACAATATCATAAAGGAAGACCCATCATCGCAAATAATCATTGTTCTTTTTGGGCTTATCTCACTTATTCAACTGTTACTCCATTAATGAAGAAAACTCTCAAGCTTGGACGATTGGATGATACTGATCTTGATCAACTTTCATATTCTCACAGAGCTTCAACATTATATGAAAAATTCAAAAGTTTACGTGGGCAAAAATTGCTTTATCGAATTTGGAAGGCCAATCAAAGTATCATTGTTCTTCAAGTTGTATTGATCACAATTGTATCATGCTTATATTATTTGCCAATGGTATTTTTTTATCGTTTCCTGGAATTAATTCAAAATAAAACACCGGATGATTCCTTGGAATGGGGTTACATTTATATATTCGGAATGCTTTTAAGTAATATTTTGGTTCAATTGGTTTATGGTCAAAATCGATATTTCAACTCTGTTATCATGCCATGTCACATAAGGGGGATGCTTAATAGCGAAATTTATTTTAAGAGTTTAAAGAGATTTGATTCTGTGGGTAATACGAGGAAAATTAACGTGGATGACAACGATAATGCAACTGTCGGCAAAATTGCTAATTTGATGTCGGTGGACACTAATCGTATATGCGAATTTGCGGTGGTATGGAATGGTGTGATTGATTGCCCGATAGAATTAATCGTTGGAGTTTATTTCTTGTATCAACTGTTGGGATTGGCATGTCTTTTTGGGTTGCTTGTTTTATGTGTGACTTTTCCCATCAATCATCAAACAGCCAAGCTTTATACAAATACTCAAGACAAACTTATGAAAGCAAGAGATTATAGAACTAACCTCATGCATGAAGTATGATTCAAATAATTAGTAATTTTTGGTAAATGCTTAATTTTGAAAGTTAACTTGTCTCCTCCCTTTATTATTATTATTATTATTATTATTTGAATACGCAGATTCTTCAGGGGATTCGAATGATTAAATTCTTTGCGTGGGACAATCAATATGAAGATCGCGTGCTAGGTAAACAAAAAAAAAAGAAATTTAGTTTTTTTCACATTATTTGTAACAAAAAAAAAAATTGATATTTTATAATAGAGGCGCGAACGAATGAATTAATACAGCTACGCAACAATTTTTTATGTCGGTCGATCTTTGAGCTTTTATGGATGACGTCTCCTATCTTGGTTTCAATATTCAGCTTTTTTATCTTTACCAAAATTCAAGGAAACGAACTTACAGTTTCGATTGCATTCACATCAATTACAATATTCCATGAATTAGAATTCGCATTTAATGCCTTACCGGAGATTATTATGTAAGTAACAAATTAATTTCGCCTCTTGACTTTCGAGAAAAACATTTATCAAAATAAATTGTTTCGATTGATTAGGGATGGTGTTCAAGCATTCGTCAGTCTTGACAGAATTGAGGAATTTTTAGGTGAAGAAGAAATTAATCTCCCTTTAGACGTGGATCATGATGAGATTGTTTCCAAGATTGCTTTCGAAAATGTGACAGTTACTTGGAATAAAAATTTAAATAATAAAATTGATGAGAATGAATTTATTATTAAGAATTTAAACATTGAATTCCCTATGGGTGAATTTAGTATTATATGTGAGTATTTGTTTTATACAGCTTTTTAGACGAGATATAAAGGCGGTTTAATAATACATGTTTTATAAACGTTAAGGTGGTCCGACTGGATCCGGAAAGTCAATGCTTTTGATGTCCCTTCTGAGAGGTATGTTTAATGATCCTTAATTGAACTTTATGTATCTTACATCAAATCTTAAGATGTGCCTATAACTATTCAACCGATTTTCTCTGATTTAAAAGAAACACATCTTGTTGAAGGAAAAATACATTTTCCCCGTTCTCCAACCAACCCTGATACTCAGGACCTTAATACAAATAATTGGATTTTGCCTAATGGTGTTGCCTTGGTTTCTCAACAAGCATGGCTTTTGAATGACACTATTAGAGATAATATTTTATTTGGACTTCCATTTGACATGCTTCGTTATGATCAAGTTGTAACAATGTGCTCATTAGTCAAAGATTTCGAGATGTTCCAAGATGGTGATTTAACTGAAATAGGCGAAAAAGGGATAACTCTTTCTGGAGGTCAAAAACAAAGGGTCGCATTAGCAAGGTTAATTAACATATAATAACATTTATAACATTTGCAATTTCTAAATATACTAACTCAATTTTTGTATAAACGTCATATAATATAGAGCAGTATATTCTAGAGCAAAGCATATCTTGATGGATGATATTCTTAGCGCCGTTGATGCGTATACTGCTAGATATATTTTGAATGAATGTATATTAGGTCCGTTGATGAAAGGACGAACTCGAATTCTTGTCACTCATCACGTACGATTATGTTTAACTGGCGCCACTTACTTGGTAAGAGACATATTGTATTAGATATTTTTTTTTTTTAAAAAAAAGAAAAAATCTCTAAATTTATTTTTAAATTCAACTAAAGCTTGCCATCAATAATGGTAAAATAAATGTTAACGGCAAAATATCAGAGTTACGTGATTCGGGATCGTTGAATTTTATTCTCGAGGAGGAAGATGGTCTTATTGATGCAAAGAAAAATTCAGAATTACTCGATGATATTAAACAAGAAGTTCAAATAGCAGCTAAACTACCTGATCCTTCTACTTCGGCTTTTAAATTTATTGTAAATGATTCTATGCAATTAACCAAAAAGAACTCTGAGCCTAAGAAACTCATTCAGGAGGAAGGTAAGACTTTTCTTGATGGTTTATTTGATAATAAGACGCATTATTATTTCTGATAAATGTTTTTGAATTAAATTCTTTATTCAATAGCGCGTTCAACGGGCATGGTCAAGTTTAAAATTTATATGACTTATTTACGTGCAAATGGAAATCTTTGGTTCTGGCTGTTTGCACTTTTGCTTTTTATTAGCGCAAGAATTACTCAAGTTTTAGGAAGTTGGTGGCTCAAAGAGTGGGCAAACGCAAGCACTGATGTCTTACGCCAAAGCAATACATCAACTATCATGACATCATTTCATGACAACTTTCAAGGATTTTTAGGGCATGATGTTAATTATTATTTCAGCATTTATGTTTTAATTACTGTGTCATCTATTTTTCTTGGAGTTTTTCGTTTTATTTGGCTTTATTATGGATCTTTAAAAGCATCTCGAAAACTTTATCAAACATTACTTCATCGAGTTATCAGAGCTCCTTTAAGGTTTTTTGATACAACTCCTGTTGGAAGAATTCTTAACCGGTTTAGCAAAGATTTTGAGAGTGTTGATAGCAATCTATCAGGTAATTTTACAAAATATTTTTAAAAATTATTTAATAGTAAATATTTTTTTTTTTAAAAAAGATTTAAAATTTTTATAATTAGGGGACCTTGCTTGGCATATAAACAATGTAAGCAATAATTTACAGTAAGTTTTTTTTTTTTAGTTTTTGTAATCTAACAAAATTCTTTAGATATTCTTGATTATCGGAACGATTTTGGTGATAGCCTCCATCACAAAAGGTATTCTTTTCTTTACAATAATAATTCACGTAATCTTACTAAATAATGTTTGATTTGTTAGGATTTCTATTTGTGGCCATTGTTATGGGTAAGTTAGTTAAATTTCTTCCTGATGTGATATAATCGAAATTTTAATCTGTATCATCCTCAACAGGATTCTATTATTTGTGGATTGGAAAGCTGTTTACGAATGCATCACGTGAACTGAAAAGATTAGATTCAGTGACGAGGTCCCCGTTGTTTAGTCATTTTACTGAAACCTTGATGTAGGCTTTTCTTTTATTATTTTATTATTATTTTTTTTTTTTTACTTTGCGTGTTTTCTTTTTTTAAAAAAAAAAATCTTATCGTGTAGCGGGATCACAACCATACGGGCTTTTGGCGCGACTCGGAGGTTTATGCAAGAAATGTTGAAAAGGTTTTTTTTTCTTAGTTTTTTTTAAGTTTTTGTTTTTTTGAATCTGAAAGATTCTAAACTTTTTTTTTATCACACTAAATAGAATTGATGATAATAATAGACCAAAGTTTTATTTAGTGCTAATAAAACGCTGGTTAACTATCAAATATAATTTAACAGGAGTATTTGTCACATTTATTACCGGAATTCTTTTGTTATCGAATTTAGACCATGTTGATCCCGGTCTAGCCGGTCTATCGTTATCATTTGCTATGCAATTTACTGAACAGATCATGTGGTACGTTAACAAATATACGGAACTTGAAATGAGTTTAAATTCCATAGAAAGGATCAATGAGTTTTCAGAAATTCCTCAAGAACCTCCTGAAATTATTGAACCTAGACCACCTGCCAGTTGGCCACATAATGGTGCAATAGATGTTGAAAATTTAAAAGTGAGATATGCACATGATTTAGATCCCGTGTTGCATAATGTTTCGTTTAGCGTTAAAAGTCAGGAAAAAGTTGGAATTGTTGGAAGGTAAAAAAAATAAATAATCAATCTATTAAATTATAATTGATTTAATTACATGGATTTGGATTTTTTTCATTAATCAAATTTTTTTTAAAGGACCGGGTCCGGAAAGTCAACATTGGCTTTGACATTATTTAGATTTATGGAACCATATGAAGGGAAGATTTATATTGACGGAATCGATATTTCATCTATCGGTGTTTATGATCTTAGATCAAGAATTACTATTATTCCACAAGATCCAATTTTGTTCACGGGTAAAAAAAAACTTTTTTTATAGTAGAAAAAATTTTTTCTCAAGTATTAAAATGGGGGGTTTTTTTTTTGTAGGAACTTTAAGAAGCAATCTCGATGTATTTTCAATATATCAAGACTATGAAATATTAGATTCTTTACGTCGTGTTCATTTATTACCATCCGATGAAGAAGTTCAAAATGATCCATCTTTAGTAGATAATATCGAAATATTTTGTAATTTAGAAACACCTATTTGTGATGGAGGAAAGAATTTTAGTCAAGGTCAAAGGCAATTATTATGTCTTGCTAGAGCTTTGTTGAAAAGATCTAAAGTCATTATAATGGATGAAGCTACGGCCAGGTAATTAATTATAAGAAAATTTCCTCATTCTCATTATACTTTTTATTAAATTTATGTAATTTTTTTTAGTATTGATTTTGCTATGGATGAAAAAATTCAAAGGATGATTAGAACCGAATTTGAGGATTGTACAGTATTATGCATCGCTCACAGATTACGTACCGTGATTGATTATGACAGGATTTTAGTCATTGGTATGAGAAAAGCGTAAAGTGTTTTTCTTTTTAAAAATAAATAATAGATTATAAGCTGCTAATATGATTTTATTCTTTATAGATCAAGGAAAAGTTGTAGAATTTGACAGGTATATTTAAATTATTTAACGATTAAATTAAATTAATTATTATAATTAATAATTATAAATTATTACATTATAACAGTCCATATAAACTCATTAAGAATACCAATTCCCTATTTCACAAGTTGTGTCAAAATTCCTGTGAATGACTGTTGAAATCTTAAATAAATAAACGGGAAAATATTTTTAATGATGTTTCTCCTCAATAGACAACCCTTTAAAATAATTGATTGTATTTCTTAATCCAAATAAAACTCCTTCATCTTTTCCAATGCCATTTCTAAAGAATGAATGAGCAAAGTCTATCATTTTTAAATCTGTAACTTTTAACTCATCTTCATCATTATCCTCCTCCTCTTCTTCCTCTTCGTCAGAATGATAACCATTACCATTATTTATATCATCTACTTTGATCTCTTTTAATTCATCTTGCTCTTTCTTTATAGCTTCAGTTAATGCATCGGAATCCCCTTCATAAACAAAAAACAAAGAAGAACTAATCAACCTAACCTCTTGATTTTCTAAAACTTTTAAATAAGATTCAAGATCACTAAGAAAGCGTTCTATAATTAATCGACGATGATCATTTGATATTTCTGCTGTGAAAAATTTTGATAAAATTGACTGTACAGTATCAGGGGTAACTTTGTAACTATCTTCTTTTGTAAAGTTGATATAACTATCGGTTGATCTTTGATAAACCTGTCATAGTATATTTCAAATTAATGTTTTTTTTTAAAAAAAAAAAATAAATAAATAAAACAATGAATTATTTATATTCTTTTACCTGAAAGCCAACTATTCTAATACCTATGGAACCCGAAGTGGTTTTATTAGCTTTTTGAATCATTTTCTGGCGTTTAGAATCATCAGCGTCTTCACCCCATAATTGTGTTCCTAACTTCAAATCCATAATACAAGGTTTTTTAAACGAAGATAAAAGATTTTCTATACAAACGGCCTGTAATAAAAAAAAAGTTAAGAATAATATTTTTTTTTTTAAAAAAAAAAAAATAATAATAATAAAACAGATAAATCAATTTAAAAGGATATCATCAACTCCAGTAACATTGGCATGTTGTGAAGAAATTTCTTTTTTAACGGATTGAACGAAATTTTCGATAGTTTTTTGTTCATTGGAAGCGATATCGGTGGTAACAGATGATTGCACACCTTGTAGTTGTAAACTACCATAATATTTTGGTATCCATTCAGCAAAATCAGGATGTAAGACACTGTTTTCATAAAATTTTTTTTCAATATCATTACATGGTTTAATGATTACGGAACCATCATTCACCGATAATAATCTATCATGACCACCAATTTGATGGTCAAATTTTTGAAAAGTGGTGGTGGTATTTTTTTCTTTTTCTTGAAATGTCATTTTTTTTTTTTTGTGTTTAAATCTATAAATAAGGTCCCCCCCTTTTTTTTATAGTTTTTTTATGGAAGGCGTTTTGGGTTGTGTAACTGTCAACAAACGGTTAGTTTGTGATCGTTAACAATAACCTCATAGGTTGAATTATTTCGTTTCATACTTTATCATAGGTTTAAAAAAATGATAAAAAGATGATTTATTATGTGATCGACAATGGTTTGGACATTGAACGATGAAACGTGGAAATTAGCTAATCCATAGTTGGTTTATAAAATGCATGTGCTTTTTTTTTTTTTATTTTATTTGTTTTATTTATTTATTTATTTATTTATATTTTTTTTTTACTTTTTTTTTTTTTTTTCCCTTTTTTTTTTTAAATGTCAGAAGAATTAAGTTTATCAGAAACGTTTTCAAAAATAATTTTAAGTTTTCCGAACATTGTTTGGCATGAAAATTATTTTCCCTTTGGAATTCTGATTACGATTCATGCCATATTTATATCACTTCGTTACAAAAATAATCTAAAAGAAGTACAAGTACCATGGTTACAAGGATTATTTGCGGTATCAGTAATGGGAGTTGGAGGAAGTACAATAAGTAACATCCTTATAGGAAAACCGCCAGGTTGGCTTACTTCAAATTCGATCATAACAGCTTATTGGTAAATAACTTTCGATTTTCTTATTTTATTTTTTTTTTTTACAAGTGAAATAATTTTTCTTTTTTTAGGACAATGTATTCTTTAATAAATTACGTTCCACCTCTTTACTGGATAATTAAATTATTACCATCAGATTTACTTAATATAATATTTCTAACGGTTGATGGAATGTTACGTGCATTAGCGATTTGTTCTTCGGGAGTAGATAGTGTAAGATATGGATCGTTTCATGTAATTGACAATAAATCAATAAATTCTAGTTGGGTGGCTATATTGATTAGCGGAACGTTATGTGGATGTGGAGGCGGCATTCTCGACTCCGCTTTTAATGTTACTTCTCCGACTTGGACTTTTTCAACCCCATCAGCATTTGTTAAACCAACTTATGATATGAAAGTCAGCTTTTACATTGCTCTATTTTACGCTTTAACTACTGTTTCCAATGAACATGAAGTTACAAATTTTACGATACAATTGTTTAGTATCAATCAAGGAAAAATTTTGGCCATTCTTGGAATGGTTACGTTGAATTTGGCCAAATTGGGTAATTTTAATATATTTCCGGAGCAGAATAAAATCAAGATTAAAGAAAACTAGAAAATTTTTATTTTTAATTTAATTCGACCATTTTCTATTAAATCATGGATCTATTTTTAAAAAAAAAGTCCATGATATCATTGTCGAAAGTAGATTTGCATTATTTAATTGGTGTTTTAATATTTAATCATATGATCAATTTTTTATAAAGTGCAGCACGTTATACAAGTTTCATAATAAATAATAAAGGGAAAATATCTCATGTTGTTTTGATTCTTTTTTTTTTTATTATAAATAAATGCCAAACCGAATGGAATTTCCAAGTGAAAACTTATTAAACTGCGCGGGTCAATTTTCGTACATAATCACGCGTTCATTTCGTTACTTAGTAAAATAAAATAAATCCACTTATAAAATATCATTGAATTTTGAAAGGAAAATGGGTGCAACGATATCTAGAGAAGAATTGATTTATAATGAAAAGATTAAAGGTAAAGAGAATGTTAATTCCGCATTGGAACCAAATTTTGATTGGGTCATTGTAGAAGGAAAAGATGGTGATGATGATGATAATTATGCAGTGAGTAATTCTTTCCCTTTTTTCCCTTTTTTTTTTTTACTTATTTTTTTTTTTTTTTAAAAAAAAAAAGATTTAGGTTAAATTTTCTAATGATCGTATTTTAATACGATACCATTTTAAAATAGTTTCCAAAGAAAATTCAGGAAGGTTTTAGAACGCATTCAACTCATTTTGCACTTAAACATATTTGTAATGGAAATTTTAAAGCACCTTTAATACATCATCTCAAATCAGGTTCAAAAATTTTGGTAATTATGATAATGTTTTACTTCGTTTTTTTTTTTTTAAAAAAAAAAAAACAAAAAAACAGATTACCTAACATTTTTTTTTTGAACCATCATAGGATGTGGGATGCGGATTGGGATTATGGTGTGAAGAGATAGCTAATGAATTTCCGGATGTAAATGTGTTTGGAATAGATTTAATCACAAATTTTTCGTCAAAGATTAAGCCTTATAATTGTAAATTTTTTGCCGGAAATGTTATATTTGGATTACCTTGGGCTGATAATACTTTTGATTATATTTGGTCAAGGGATTTATTTACCGAAATTAAAGGTAAAAATTGGTTAAATTTATTGCTAGAAATGCATAGAGTTTTAAAACCTGGGGGTATCATAGAATTTCAAGAGAGTGATGGTTATGGTAAGATTTAAATTAATAATCAGTGTTTTTTTTTTTAAAAAAAAAAATATATATATATATATTTATATATATGTCTTTCTATTCAATTTGTAAAAGCATTGTCTGCGGGACCTTTATTAAAAAATGTTCAATCTAATCGTTGTGAGTATCTAATGTCTTATAAATGAATTTTTTTTTTCGAGTTCACATTGATTTTTTGATAATTTCCTCTATTTTAAAAGTACACGAGGCATTAAAGTTACGGGATATAGATTTTAGAATTGCGTGTAGACTTGGTGAAATTGTAAAGTTGGCTGGATTCGAAGACATAAATGAATCATATCATTCGATACCTATCGGAAAGTGGGTACTTTATGAGCGTGATTTATTAGGTTCACGTTTCAAAAGATTCGTAGCTCTAATCAAATATTATTATTTTTGTTTTTTAGGTGGGGTGGTAAAATAGGAGAAATATGGGCGTCCAATTTAAAAGAGTCTTATCTTTCAATGCAACCTTGGTTATCTTCATGCATGAGCATAAGCGAAGATGAATATAATCATACCATTAAAGAGATTGTTGATAAGGAGCTAGACACCTACCAAACTTATATGAATCATCATATAATTTGGACGACTAAAAAAGTACCTCGATATTATTGGATATAACATTATATATATATTTTTTTTTTCACAATTCAAACACGCGAACATTTGTAACTTGATCATTTTTTTTCTATTTACTTAATTATAATAATATTTACAAATTAACAAAACAAAAACAAAAAAAAAGAAAAGAAAAAGAAAAAGGAAAAAAATTACAAAAAAATATATAAAATTCTTTTCGATTAAGTTCTTCCCAGATGACCTATTATATGTTTGTCTAGACATTCCCTACAGCAAGTCACCTTTTTACATCTTGTACAAATTAATAAATTCCAGATATCAATTAATTCTTTAGCTTCAAAATTACATTGGGCACAAATTGGTTGAACTTTTGGTCTTGTATTATCTAACCTATGCATACTAGAATTTGCTTTTTTAATTAATTTATCGGCACTTTCTATCCCACATTGTCCGATCAGTTCACATTCTTCGAAACCTTTTAAGGCTTCTAAAAGGTCACCTTTTGATTCAGCGGTTATCGCGCGACAATAATTTATGTGAATGCGAGATGCCCTTTTCCTTTGAGTTTGCTTATACGAACAAATCCTCATGAAATACGTATCTTGTAGATTCTTGTCAATTTCACCCATTAATTTCACCCCATGATTTAAAATATCTAAATTATTGGGATCTCCTAATTGATTGCAATATAGGTTTGTTAAGGCTGAGACGGTTTCGAGGATCAATTCAATATCCCATGAAGCATAAGGAATCATTAAAGTAAGTTTTAAAGATACAAAATAATACGTCGCAGCAGAAACATAATCTGGAGAGATTTCCGTGTCTTCCGAGTCATTATCAATTCCATTCAAATAAATCGAACCCAGTTTCGTTGCGGCACTTGCGGAGCCCAGTTGCGTTGCTCTCAATAGTAGATTGATTGATTTATTGCGTTCATGAGAATTTAATTTGCGCTCGGCCTCTTTTATAAGGTTTGTTACAAATATCAATGTAAGGGAATTTATATGATCATTTTGACTGTTGAAGTCGGGAACCAACGTGGTAGTTTTTTGAGAAATGGTGATAAGTGAAGGATTTATCAGCTGATGCGAATTTTGAAAAGGACAAACACATCGAGAAATGCCCGAACCCATTATAACCGAAAATTTGTTTGAAGAAAATAAAAAAAATTATATATATATATATATATTCCAAAAAAAAGTGAGACAATAATTCAAAGTGAACAAAAAAAAAAAAAGTAAGTTTGAGGGAAACCCCGCATCTCTTAAAAAGTTGAACACCTTTCTTTATATGTAACAGATCATCATTAAGAAAGAAACGTTTCCATTTTTTGATTAACATGATCAAATGATGTTCCCCATTTTAACTTGAACTATAAAACGCCGAGAAAAATATGTCCATTGTCAATCACAAAGTTGGGATGATGACATGAATTACTACGTGTAAAAAATTTTCGAGACTTTTTTTCTCCCCCTTATTTAACAAAAGATATGTAATAATTAACAAAGGTTGAAATTTACCATTTGATTTTTTCGGGTCCGATTTAATTGTTATGTATAAAAAGGACCTTGTTGCTTTCCTAAAACGATTATAATGATAGAAGACTTATTATAGGTAAGTCACCATGTGTACATTTGATGAACAATAACTAGATTGTTATCGCTTTCCACGTTTAGAATTTATGACGCGGTAACGTTTATTGATAATTTCGTGTTACTTGAGCTCTTCCTATAGCGAGATGCTTTGGGGCAACATGTCAAATATGTCAAATGGTGCCACATGATACTATAGTATTACCAAGTTTTTCACCTCACGTGATTCAAATAAGAAGTCGCCTCGTATCACACCTACTACTTTTACGTTTTTACTATGTATTCTGGGAACAGAATTTTTTCGGACTGAAAAATCCTATTTGTCACTTTAATTATCACATGGTTAAGATTTTTCTTACACAGGATCATTATAGATTTTTGAATAGCCTTAGCAGTTTAAGATCTCTTTTTTGTTCTTAACATTAATAACATTTATTAGAATAAATGCTTTAAATCTTATATTTACAATATTAAGGCAAAAAAATATATATATAACTATTTCCATGCTTTTAGAAAATTAGAAGTATTATTAAAATCTCTTTGAAAGGTTTAAAAGTATAATTTTCTAATAAAACCCATTTAGATTAAAATTTTCTAATCAAATTTTATATTATTAGAAAAATAAAATGCACATTATTACTCTTGATCAATCTCATTAAAAAATAGGATTAAAATACTAGCTTGTAAAATATATTTTAATTATATCTTTTGAATTTGATATATACAGTGGCGGTCAAAAGTATTGCATCACCCGAACACAAATTTTAAAATTGCAATTTTTTGACAATTAA